GACCATTCATTTCTCACCATTGCAGCTCAGGTGTCATAACTTCATATACAATTTACCCCTGCAAGCCAATTCAAGCCAGGGTAACGGTCGTGGCGGCCCCATACCATGACCAGTCGATCGATCAGGGTGGTCCGATGTAACGGCCGGGAGGTGGCCGCCTGTTGATCCCTAGTACACTAGGGTTACCGCGCGTTGGCGCGGAAATCGACAGGGAAGATGCTAGGCGACAAGCATTTTTCGCTGTTCCCCGCGGGAGCAGTTTCGTATGCATGTGTCTATACATGCACAACAACCATCAAAGACACCTCTTAACGCTCAGATCGTTTCGAGTGTGCCTCAGATTCAGGCCCATCCGCTTCTGCTTCTGCAGGAATGGGCTCATGAGTTGGGGTTTCGCCCATCTGCGCCCGTTAGTCATATAAGCGCCACAGGGTTTCATAGTGACATACCTTGTCGAGCTGATAATTGGACATGAGAAGGCTCAGGGGGATCAATGGGATGGTCGCAATCAGTGCCAGAACCAAGAGTTTGTTCATGGTTTCCTGATAGGCTCGATTAATGGCCACTCGCGCGGGCGAGCCCACAGGGTAAGAAAGTGCTTTGGTCAACTTTCCAAATATCTCACCAACATCCGCCTTGGCCTCGTCGGGAAGGTACTGTTGTAGTTTGCGTGGAATGTGATGTGTCCAGATGGCGCCCGAAATGGCGGCTCCTACGGCACCGCCCATTTCCATGGAGGTAAGGAACATTGCCGTGGCGGCTGCAACGTCCTGGTGGCTGGCGGAGGCCTGAACTCCCAATTGGACAGGTACATTGAGGAGCCCACCGCCCGCACCGACTATCACCTGGGTCCCCAAAATCAAAGCTGGTGAGCTCCCCTCTCTCCGGTAGGTCAACATTAGGAATATCCCAGAAATGTATATCACGCAGCCAATCGTGACGTAGACGCGGTAACGCCGTGTATATTTGATCAGGATCGAAACTCCAAAGGCGGCAATAGTGGATGTGAAAGCGAACGTTTGGGTCACACGACCCGCTGTCGCTACATCGTAGTCCTGGACAACCTGGAGATAAGAGTAGAGGTACGGCTGAACAGAAAAATAGAATGCCACTTCAAAAATGTTAGTTTGATCAGGCATTAGCCTCGGGGTAATTCGCGAAGATTGACATACTGAAGTAGAAGAAAGCCAGAGTACAACCTGCCAGAGCAGTACGCTGTTTGAGGAGGTGCAAGGAAAGCAAGGGCTTGGGAGCCAACTTCTTCGAGCTTTCCCAAGCAGGTAAAGCGCAAAGGCAGACTATGCCAACTATGATCATGGCGATGATGCTGTTATTCTTCCACCCGTTCTTGGAATTGGCCGCCAGTGTCAAGGGAACCAAAATCAAGGTCACTGCCGCGGACAGCAGAATCAAGCCGAACATGTCAAGATCATACCAAGTGTGGCGAACAGCGGCAATGAATCCACGACGGTGAGCGCTTCTGGGCTTAATGAGGTTCAGCCTCTTGGCCTTGCGCTGGTTCAACAAGAGTGAGAGTGCCAAAGGAAGAAACGAGGCAGGCAGAATGATTGACCACATGCCGTAGCCCCAGCGCCATGAGGTATGCTCAAGCACCGCGTTTGCAATCGTCGGCCCGATCCAGACAGTCACTAAAAAGGGTAGCTCTGGTAGGAGTGCAAGAAGTGCACGGTTGAGGAGGCTACTACTGTCGGCGATGAAGACCTGTTGCAATATTTGCAAGCCAGTTGAACCGGCGGAGTAAAAGATTTGGGCTGAGGCGTATGTCTGAACATTGGTCGACGCAGCCATCTGGACGTATCCGAGAACGTATATTAATATACTGACGCAGAAGGCCTCGAAACGGCCGAAAACATCAGCGACTTTTGCCATGGGTGGCTTAATGACAGCTGCGATGGACGGTTAGCCAAAACTAGGAGTATCCGGCCTCAGACAGTGTACCGACCATTAACGACATTCTGAACAACAAGAACAGTTGAGATCAACGAATGTTTGCTGAAAGCGCTTGTAGCATATGCCGAAAGGGACATTACGGTTTGACCCTCAAGGGACGTACAAAATGCCATGAGGAATATGCTTCAGAATGGTTAGTACATATGCGCCTTCAAGTTCTCAGTCCCCTTCCACAAACACCAGAGGCACAAACCTGATATATGCTATGATCAAAGACCGGGTGGTCCAGGTCAGGTTGATTGCTTCAATCTTCCTGACACCCTCCTGTATAGAATCCCCGGAGGACTCTACATCGCTGTCATGTTCGCCTGCCTCATATCCTGCTTGGAGAAGATGTTCTCCTTCCTCGTCGTTGTATTGATCCATTTGACTGATTGTGCCATATGAAACTTTCGAGCGGTAGTCAAGTAAGGGCATTGCGGGTGTGTCGGGTTGGATGATGTATGATCGAGTGGCAGAGTCGCACTAAGGGCAAGGTCCATTTACTGCAACCGACCGTGGGAGACTTGGTTTATAGTCGTGAGTAGTTGTGAAGGCGAAAGTAGCATGTAGATTGGAGGTTGAATAGTGTTAAAGCCGAAGCATCGACATGGAAGAGAAAAGGCGACAAGCTGACGCTTGCGAGGCTGCGCGGACGGAAAGGAGTCTCTGCGACCTGAACCAGCCAGATCCACCGACAAGAGAAAAAGCAATCAACAGGCGACCAACGAAAAGGAGGAATCAAGTAGCGCAGAGACTAGGAATAAACCCCGATGAGGGGTACAGGTCAGAACGGCAGAGCTAATAGACTGGTGGACACTGAATCAAGGTCAGATGGGTTTGGGTACCAGTCCTGCGTTAGGTAACCAGATGCAGACAGTCAAGTCAATACACAGCGCAACGCGTGGATCGCCAGATCTATAGTGCAGGAGGAAGCACAAGGGGCTGAGCTCCAAGGCTTCCAGTCACGGATCAGACCCTCACGATGATTCACACCACTGACCACGATCGACAGGCCGCACTTATGCAAGTCGGTGTGGGAAGTTAGGACTTAGCCTATGGGCTGAACGCCCGTGGCCCAGAAGGGAAGTGTGGCACCCGTAGAGTTGCTGCAGCGAATAGATACTTGGATGAGAGAGGGGGAGAAAAAAAAAGATTCGAAATTTGCTTCTATCCAGCACCAATCGTTAGGTCGAATGCGGGCGGATGTTGCCTGTCGGGCAAGTTTAAGTGGTGACAAAAGTTTGTGCCTTGCGCCCCAGGCAGTCCATTGACAGATACTTGGTTACACGCGGCGGACGACCAAGGTAGAGAATAGATAATAGAGATGGAGGTGGGGGGTGAGGGGAAGATATCGAGTGTCGACAAGAGCCGGTAGGTACCCCTGGCCTTTCTGCAGAGAAGGCTTCGACTGCAGGAGTTCACCCCAAAGAGGCGTGGTGGTTGCGGAAGGTGGGTGGGGATGGGAAGGAAGATAGTGTGGCAAGTGACCGGGATGTCGAATATTACGCAGTGTAAGAGAACATCAGATATGATAAGATCACCTGGTCCGGCGGTCGGACCGAGCGGCAGTGAGAGAGGGGAGGGGAGGGAAAAGCCGGGATCAGATGATGGTGGTGGTGGTGGTGGTGGTGGTGAAGGATAGATGGTCAGGCTGATGTGATCAGTGGTCCGTGGAGACTAGTAGACTAAAGGGAAAAGTGGTTCTCCGCTACTCGTCTTTTTCTTTTCTTTTCTTTTCTTTTTTTTTTTTGCTATTTGTATATGGTTTGATTGGTAGCAACCGGCTCTTATACATTGTAGTCAAGATTCATGATGGATTTCTATACTTACCAGATGGCACAGTACTGTTCCTCCAGTAGTAGGTAGGAAGTCATCCCTCTTTTCCCCGGTCTGACCGCCTGGCTGGCTGGCATTCTGCTTGGACAACTTGGAAGCAAGAATGAAGTTGCGCATCGCCGCTTCATCCACTTCCGCCCCCTTGCATGCGTGCAGACACGACAAACCTGTTTGAAACTGGATTTATCGATCCAAAGACCTCTGTGAAGCGATGTTGATTGGAATGCTTTGCACCTCTCTCTGCATGACTCGACCGCGTTGCCCAATCCAAGGAGAGGTATTGTCATCTCACCGGGCTCCTCATGCGGCTTCGACCCTTTGAAAAGTGCTTAGCATGAAATTCCACGTCCTCTTCCCCCCCCCCAACCCGACCTTACCGGTACATCACTGTTGAATGAAGCCCGGACCCATTTCCTGATTGGGCTTAAGAGATACAAAGCTCGCCCGGGGAAGAATGGATCATGGATGACTCGGGAGCAACCGCGTCATCCAACCCGACCTGTCATCGGAGGCTGTTCTCCCACCACACCACCAACAGACTGAGCAGGGCGAGTGAGGTACGAGGATCAGATGAAATAGCGCGCTCACGGGTCACCTGCGAGTTATTATAGTATTCCCCAATAACTCCCTCCCGCCCAAGCCGCTGTGAGAACAATGAAGAGATACCCTCAGATCGCGAAGGTGGTAGGTGCACTTCGACCTGTGACGAGCCTTAAATGAACCCTACTCGTTAGTCCATCAATGCTTGCAAGCCAGAATAAAAGAAAAGAAAAAAGTCTCAAGTTTGACAAGGTCCTGTCTCGGGGAATAGTGTTTCCTCTGTACGACCTGTCGGTGATTTCTAGCGTGACTCTGAGGGTTGCTCGGCGATTTCGAAAAAAGCATGGCCAGATCTCGGCTCTTAAACCACGAACAGAGAGGGCATTTAGAGAAGGGCATTTGGCTTGCTTTACTGAGAACAGATGGCGCTCCTGTCACGACTACTTGCCGTTGATTCGTGTATTGCCCACTATCATGCTCACAATTCATTTGTTACGCTGAGCTCCAACTGATGTGTATCTTGGTTTTTGTTCACGTGGTTTGTATGTTTTCGAACTCATTACTCTTGAACAACAGTTAGCATTGCCGGACTCCATTTTCATCGATGCAAATATAGTCAGGTCGGAACAAGCCTGTTCAAACAGGTCTTTTTGAATCCGTCGTCGATCTATTGCCATGTCTTGCATCGAATGGGCTTGGGGAAATGCCTCGGAAATGAGTTGCATACCTCACAAATTTTGCATATCAGACGACCAATCAGCTAGGCACTGCAAATTTCAAGGTCATGGTAGGGCCATCAAAAATGCATAACTACAGCGAGAGTATCCTGTACCTGCTGACTACACAACCACAACGCATGCTGCATTCACCGACGCTGGTTGGCGACAGACCTACCATTCCTCTTCACAGGCACATCCATGTGTAGTAAGTACCCTTCCTGACAATATGAAGAATGTTGAAGATTCGTGCTTCTGGAGATATATTGAACAAGATGTCTATGGACAACGTCAAGATTACATTCAGCCACAGATCTCATGAAACCCCTCACTCAGCCGAATCGATAATCAAGTGGCCGAAGTTGACTACCAGATCCTCCTTTTCGTCCGAAGGTTTCGCTGCATAAAGCCCGATCCAAAGGTCTTGCACGTTTGTGTCTTCGAAGAACCAGGTCACCTCTCGAAGGGGAGACTTCTGAACGCCCTCAACCAGATAGATCCATAAGCTGTTATCCGACTCTCGGACAATCTCCAGGGTGGCCGCTCCACCACCTGACGGCACAGGCTGCAGACTCCAGTCCGCCCAACGGTCCTTGGCGACAGTGCTCAGGTGTGGCCTGCCGTTGGCAAGCTCAATGCCGGACTTGACCCATTTTCGAGTTCCATCGGCACCATTGAGGACCAGGATCACGCCTCCCTGGTCATACTTGTGTTTCCAGAGGGCATTGAATGCGACCCTGGCCCTCTTGAAGGATTGCACTGGCACGCTTCTGTACAGGATGGGCGCGTTGAAAGACTTTGTGGAAGGAGGTTTGGCCCAAATGTCGGTTGAAGGGCTCGCTTTGATGGAGAACTCGGCGGGGAGGTTCCCGTCACCAGGAACCTTTTCGGAAGAGTTTGCGAATTTGAAATCCGTCATGATCGCGCGCAGTGTGAGATCCGATGTGGGTAGCGTTGAAGGAGATGGATTAGATCGAAGCGGAAGTTTTGAAGTGCGGAGGCGGGGGGAAAAGATGAAGTGTAATGCGATAGTTGATATGAGGAAACACAAATGAAGATATGAGTAGCACGGTTAGGAAGACCGGGAACCTCAATATGAATAAGAGGCCGGAGGACCATGGCCCAGACCCTACGTCACTTGGAGGGGGAGCAGCTCCACCGTCCAGAAGGCGCTGGGTCAAAGCTGGAGAAGCATCCCAAGGGATCATTGCCCTCTGCGGTAACCTATGACAGCGATGACTCCATCTCCGGTGGGGTTATCGGAGGGGTCGGCGAGGTAGGAAGCACGGCAGACACGAATGTTGCTGCTGCTGCACTAGCCAAAGTAGACAGCTCTGGATCATACTCAAAGAGGCAGATCGATAAGCATACTACTAGGTAGGTGGCCTTCGTAGTACAGCACCTACGAACTGCAGGCGCTGCAAAGTCCGTGAGTGGGAAGATAGTATAAGTACAGTAGCTCCTCCTTGTAACCGATCGAAACCGATTGCATAACTATGAGTGCTCGTTTCACAGGGGAGATGACATAAGCGAGACCTTCTCCTAGAAGGCGGCGTTGCGTTGTCGATCGGTCAGAGAATCTCCAAAATGGCAACCAGCGTCAATTCGATCGATGCTGATTTGGCACGACGAATTTCAGGCATGGGCTGATTGATATTATCCAACTCTCTGTGATGTTTCTCCTTCGTTATGTCTGCCCGTCTCCTTCACCCAGATGAGTATGAGCTAGAAACTCGCTCTTCAGTGGACTCTCAGGAGAGCTTCAATCTCGATGACGCCGATTTCGAATCGCAGGTGCCTCCGCGACCCAGACGGATGCTGAGAAAGGTTCCTTTCCTATCGAGACTGTTCTCTTCGACCTATTCTGGCTATCGTAGCCTGAAGCCTTCGCGACCGTTCCTATCGGCCTCAACACGCCGTGGTTGCTACCGCCGCCTGCTGTTTCGCCGCTGGTGCCTTCGCCTCCATGCCGCCGCAGGTATCATTCTTGCGCTTATCGTCCTAACGTCAATCTTCCGACCTTCGTATACTCGGCTGCCGCCACATTATTCGTCTCTTCGGGATGCAGTGTCGCAATCGACTGAACCCGGCCGTGGAAATCCCCGCAACGAGAAAGTCTTCATCGCTGCGAGCTTGTACGACCGCGATGGCGACCTGGCGCAGGGACACTGGGGAAATAGTGTGCTACGGCTAATTGACCTGCTTGGGCCAAACAATGTCTTCTTGAGTATCTATGAGAATGACAGCGGCGCGGACGGGGAGCGGGCACTTCGCGGCCTGGAGACACAGGTCACATGCAAGAAATCCATCGTATTCGAAGAGCATCTCGATTTAGACTCTCTTGCAAAAATCGTGGCGCCCGATGGGTCAAGGCGAACGAAACGGATCGAATACTTGGCTGAAATTCGAAACCGAGCCCTACGGCCTTTGAGCGATCAGCATGATGTGCAATACGACAGGCTCTTGTACTTGAATGATGTTGCCTTCAACCCGGTCGACGCACTTCACCTCTTGTTCTCTACAAATGTAGCGGATGATGGCGTTTCTCACTATCGCGCAGCCTGTGCTATCGATTTCATCAATCCTTTCAAGTTCTATGACACTTACGCGACGCGGGACTTGCAGGGTTACAGCATGGGGCTTCCTATCTTCCCTTGGTTCTCAACTGCGGGCGAAGGTCAAAGTCGACAGGATGTGCTATCAGGAAAAGATGCCGTGCGGGTCCGCAGTTGCTGGTCAGGCATGGTGGCTTTTGACGCTCGGTTCTTCCAGCAATCTCCGGAAAGCCAAAGCTACAAGGGCGTTGAAACACCAGTTCAGTTTCGTGCTTCACATGAATCGTTCTGGGAAGCGTCTGAGTGCTGCCTCATCCACGCTGACATTCAGGAACCTCTGGCGAACGGGGGAGATAGCGGCATTTATATAAATCCATATGTCCGTGTCGCATATGATCCCCATACTCTGTCTTGGCTTGGGACGACTCGACGATTTGAGAGACTATATTCCTTGATTCAAAATCTGATCAGTCGCCTTGCTGGACTACCATGGTTCAATCCTCGCCGAGATGAGATTCCGGGACAAAATGTACAACAGACAGTCTGGGTTCCAGACGAAAAAGAAGATGGCAGTGGCTCGTTCCAGACAGTTGATAGGGTTGCAGGGAAGGACGGCTTCTGTGGACGCCCGGGGCTGCAGGTCATTGTTGAGCATCGCGAAGAGGGACAAAAGGGGTGGGAAACCATCCCGATGCCATCTTGAGGTTGGCGGTTGTCTTTGCTGAAAGTTGGCACGTATCAGTACATGAATACTATTCTTGCTGTGCTAGTCATTTTGGTAAATGCGTTTGTTTGCACTGAGGGTCCTGATATGAGAGCCTCGTCTCCCCGCCTCTCCGTTAGCCCAAGAGATATATGTAACGCGCGCAGCAAAGTCTCAACTACAAACGCTTTGAAGAACGCCGGTGAATTACCCCAAGAATCTCCCGTAGTTCAATCCGTAGCTTTCACTTGGGGAGATTACTCATTTCAGCTTCGCTTTTATAGATACACCGAGCCGTTGGATGTTATGGTGATCATTCATGCCTTCTCTTCTCGTTCCAAAATGTCACCAGCTTCTTCTTCTTCCTCCGCCTTGGACCTTGTAAACCATCACTCCTCTATGGACATGGAGTTCGCCAACCGTGTCACAGGAGTTATCTACGGGGTGCTCGATTCTCTTATGGATCGGGCGTCCTTGGCCAGCCTTGACGAAAGCCAGCATGCCCCTAAAGCTGCGAAGTGGCCGACAGTGAAGGGCTCTCGTCTCCATCCGGTCCGTCCAACTCTTCCTTCTCGACTTCCTCCAGTCTCGCTTGTTTCAAAGTTCGCGCTCTGCTTCCCGCCTGCTCCAGTTACAGTCTGACCATTTCTTTGAAATACTAACAAGTAGTGGAAACATCCGCAGGCTTCTCAAATCTCACCCGGCAACCAGAAGACCTCCCTCGTTGACTCGGTCAACACACTCAGGGCGTCTTCTCTTGCTCTGGCTTCACCCTCTACATCTCCCTCCTCTCGTTCCCCTTCCATCAGACCCCAGAACACACCCCCTAGCTTGTTTACCCAACAAGACTACACCGAAGAGAAAGACAACAAAACAACGAACATGTATCCCGTCGCTGACGTGGACGATACCGCCGGCTTCATGGCTGCTGCGCGCGCCTGGAAGCCGGAGAGAGACTACTTCAACTCGTCCGCTCAGGTTGCGGATGTGTCTAATGACAAGCAAGGTGGTGAGGATAATTCCGCCAACGCTTTGGACTACAATGCGACTGCTGGCGATGACGACTTCGGTAGGTCACCTACACTTCAACCTGAGAGCCACACAGACTGATTCTCACCTGTGCATCCAGTTGGCATCCCCGGTGATGATGCTTTCGACGGATTCGCCCCCCCCAAGTCCGATGCTGGAGATTTTGAAGCAGGACCCGAGGCTCAGAAGTCGGTCACAGATTGGGACGGAGCTGACAACACTGTGAAGCAGGAGCAGCAGCAGAAGCAGCGTGTTACTGCTGCCGCTGCTGCCACCGCCAGCTTGTCTGTTACCCATACCCCCTCGGAGGAGGAAGATCGCGAGAACCTCACTACCTTCAAGTCGTGGGGCCCTCCCGCTCCTCGTGACAAGCCCGGTACTGCTGCCCCTTTGCCCACTTCCTTGTCCTCAAATGAAGACTAACACCCTGTTTATCTTTCAGCTGCTCGCATCCGTCGTGTTATCATCAAGGGTCTTCCCACTGCCTGGTGTAGCCCTGCCAAGGTCTTTTCGCTTGTGCACGGGGGTGCCATCGACAGCATCAACGTGACTTCCTCTGGCACTGCCCACATCTTGTTCTGTGAAGCCGATGCCTGCAAGGCGTTTTATGACAAATACCCCAACGGCATCGATCTGGATCGGGAGAAGAAGCTCACCGTGTTTGTGGAGATGGGCCAGGAGGTTGACGTTGTCAGCTCCAGTCTCAGTTTCAGTCTCTCCGTCGGGGCCACCCGTGTTGTCCGTGCTGTTGGAGCCCAGATGGATGTCAACATGGAGCAGTTGGTCAAGCTGGCGACCTCCAAGAATGGCAAGCTGGAGAAGATGATTGACACCTACGTCCCCGGGGAAGTAAGTTGTCTTCCCTTGAGCCTGCAGTTCCCTCAACTGATCAAACCGACTCCAGGCCCGCAGCATCGTGTTCCGCTTCTGCAGTGTCGACGACGCCGTCCGCTTCCGTGCCGCCTTTGTCCGCGAGATTGAATTCGAACAGTGCAATGTTCAGTACGCGGCTGATCCGTAAGTGAAACCTATCTGCATACCTTGGCACAAAAGGTTTGGGCTTTGGGCTAAGAATATACAGATGCGAGACTGCGACTGGCTACCATGTGGACTAGAAGTCTGATTGTTGTGTGTCCACGGGTCTGCCATGATCTATATTGTGGATCTTCTGCAGTACACACGGCATTTCAAGCTTTCTACGATGTCTCAAGGACAATTTCTTTCTTCATGTTGTACATTAAGGTGGCTTCGGGCCCATGACTATTACCGAGTTCTATGAAAGCAAGCGCCGTCAATGCAGCTAGCTCATATGTCATATCCAGACTTAGGAATATGCGAAGACGAGAGTCACCCGCTGCATTTGTATTCTACCGGGTAGCCTTTTTTAAGTAGCGTAAGGTATATCCGCTAGAAATATACTAAGGTAGGCAGGCATAGTTCCCATCACCACAACACCACCCGCCAAAGAAAAAGAAATTAAGCAACAAATATCTTCAACTATCTCCCTTCCCTCCCCTTCCCCTTCTCTCACTAAATCACTACCTAGGTACCATCCCTCCACGCCCCAGATCAAACCAACCAGCTATCACGATATTAATGCACAACGATTACAACCCAGCACATGCAATACCCCCATAATTACCATACACAACCCACCACAGAGTACGTATCCGTATCCGTATCCAAAGTACAGTAACCAACAATAAATACCACATTACACTCATCCGTCGGATAGTTAACTAACACTGCCCCCCAAACTCCAGCTCCGAGGCCCTACCCCGAAAACCTCGGGGTTTGTTAGGTATACAGTGACAAACGCCGGAATCGAGATCGGAACGGTACTCACAGAGAAAACAACTTTTCCGACTCTTCGGGTCAGCAATCCAACGCGCCATGCGATGTTCGAAATCCTTTGTCTGCAATGTACATACAGTACAGTCCTTAGTCTACGACGTAACTTACAGTACTAGATGAATAAGTGGCCGCCGACAAGATCGGAGATAGTAGGCCAAGTTAGGTGTTCCCGAAACACTCTATTGAGTACTACGTAAGTTAGGTAACTTAGTTATGAGTAAGGCATGAGTCAGGCATGAGTAAGACAGTCAAGTTAGTTAAAAGTCCGCACAGCAAGCCAGCCAGCCAGCAAGCAAGCACGTGAGTGAGTGAGTGCGTGAGGTTCAGCAAGAACTGGCCCGGGCATGTTTCCCTGGGATGCCCACAATTCCCCTCGGCGAAATCTGGCACGAAGTACAGTACTCCGTAACAGACACCAGATTCTACTGTGCCTACGCTGGCTCAAGACCCTCCTACCTACGAAGGTCTGGACGGGTACGAGAGACATCCGAAAAGTGCGTGCTTTTCCCAAGTCTTTCCTGCTGGTTATGTGTGTGTTTGGTCCGAGATCCGACCGGCGCTGATGGCGGCGATTGCGGCGGACTTAGATTCCTAGATTCGGGAGGGAGTACGAAGAGAAGACCGGTAGGTACTCCGTACATACAGTCCACTAAAGTCAAACTCTACTTGGAGAATAGAAGAGAGTTTTCTTTCGTGTGTGCTTGTACATACTCTGGATAATGAGATTTGACGGTAGTTTCGCATACTCGAGCACCCATCATAAAGGGGTTTGTTCAGCAGGGCTTATGTTGGAAGCAATTAAATGGTTAGGTATCTATCACAAGCAATTTCCGTTCATTCAACGGACAAAGGAATCAATCAAGTCCGACCCCGGTTCCAAGTGGGCTGGCTGGCTTGCTAAAGGTACAACCTGGCAACAAGTGAAGGCGGGTCACTCCCGTCACTTGCCTGCCTGGTAAGGTCACCATTGAGTTAACCGCTCGGTCATTTTGTCCTCGGTTAGCTCTGCCTGACTCGGCCATAACTGGAGTCGGCCACCAAAAGAACCTTTTGACTTATTTTTCTCCCTCCCCCCCCGGTCTTGCCTGTTCTCGCTAGGATAGGCTTGTGCTAGGGACATGGGTTCTCCAACACTCACTCGACAGACAGGCAAAAAGGAAAAACAGAAATGTTTGCGCACGCCAAGCAGTTGGGGTTGTTTTTCTTTTTTTGTGAATTGATTTTTTCTTTCCTATGCCGAGTTTGTATCATCTCTCCGGAGACTGTAGCAAGCGTCAACTACTTAGTTCTCCCTGCGATTCTAGGCTAAGACGTTGGGTAAAATCGGAGACAGACTCTAATCTCGGGGCCAAAATATCCACATGGATCTGACTGGCGCTTGCTTGATCTGCTCCTAACCAGCCTTACTGGATAGGTGTAGGGATGCAGCAGCTTCGTTTGCGTTGCGCTCATGCATCGTTGAATAATAGGCAGTGCAGCAGTCCTGTCAGTCTAGGCATTTGCGGAGGCTAGTCGGCTCCAACGAGGGAGATCACCATACTGAATGGCCTGTTCGTCTGTCAGTGATCTCGTTCTCACTTCTCACTAAGGGCTAATGCACAGTAAACTAGTCTCCTAGCCCAGACTAAGGGCAATCTATTTAGTCCTACCAGATGAGGTAAATGCAGGCTAGTTTGCACGCACGTCTACCGGCGTTAGTCAGTGCAAGTTTGAAACGAGGCTCCACCGGAGGGGAGTGGCAGTGATGGGAAGATGATAGGCGTAGTAACACTGTAGCCTGGTGGTAGTGAAGTTAGTGATGATGACGATTGAAGTTTGTGGTAGTATCAATCGCCCGTGGCTTCTAGCAACGTTGGTTATACTGGGAATCGAAATTTTCCAATTCGAAAAAGACCGGAACCACAGGGTCATTCAAGTCAACCCAAATTAAACTGTAACAAGGCGCGGATTAGGCAGGCCGAGATCCGGTCGAGGGACGGACCCAACACTAAGCTATCATTGGAGTGGATACCGTGCGGAGATCGCCGACGATGAGGAACAAAGTGGTGTTACGTTAATTTCTTTGTCCCCTCTGCTGCCGGTGGTGGGGTTGTCGGTCTTGTGAAGCCTGACGATCGCGACCGGAGTGGTAACGGACTCGACGAAAAGTCACGACATTGATCGCTGGCGGGTTATTGCTGATCTATAGAGACGGCTGGCTTCATCGACCGTCCATGGTTTCATCGGGACTCGGTGGTGGTGTTACCTGAAATGGGAACCGCGCAGCGGAAGTCCTCCGTCTGTCCCATGCGGCCATGTCGACTTCGGGTGGTGTTTTGCGCAAAGGTGAAAAGGACGACGACGTGAGCATACTAGTCGGTAGGCTAAGTTAGACAAGCAAGTTTAAGAGGTGGCATCTGCACGACTGACTCTCAGCCCCATCTCATCCACTGGAACCCGGTTACAAGTACGGAGTAAGCCTCCGTGGGCGCGCCGTAACCCCATCCCTCCCTTCCCCCGTCCCACAATCGCTGTGATGGCTGTACGTACCCTCATGAGGCCCGGGCTGCCTTAATCACCAAGGGAGCTTCGAAGAGCGGATAGCGAGGAAGGGTAGGAAAATTTGACAGCCCGGAATTTCCCCCCCTCGAAGTGAGAATATCTCAGCTGCCTCTGTGCTCAAGCGCGGCCCAAGAATTGGATCCGGTGAGGGGGCAGGCAGCACCGGCTAAGACTAGCAGCGAAAGAGAATGCACCAACGGACCCGACAGTCTGGTCGAGGTGTGATAGTAAGGCATTAGTAGGCAGCCTTGAGCAATTTCCGTCCAGTTGAGGGGTTTCTGCTTTCTGGGTAGGGTGGATAGACAAGGATCCTTGCAAGTGAGGCAATTGGCTTCCTAGCGAGTGCGGAAATGTGGCAAGATTGCGGTAGAGGCCCGTCAATCCTTGGAGCAGCACAGTGGGAGGTGTATCACGAACGTACGATGAAGCTCAAGGTGATGAGAAAGAAGCACTGACTCAGCCGATTGGAAGTGGTTAGTGAGCTAGGCAGTTCTTCAGTCTGTTTTAAGGTACGGAAGTAAGCTTACTTGGATGCGTGCCTTCCCGTAGCCCCCTTCTTTCACCTTCTCCTCCCCTCCCCTCCCCTCCCATTCCCGTGAAGGGTTGTGTTATGGGGTGGAGGGGGAGGGGGAGGGGGAGGGGGAGGG